AATATCCTTAAATGCTGCAAGTTTTCACTGCTTCAGTTTTTGATAGGCTCTTAGGGTATATTTGGAGGAAGGTGGTTGTTCGCTAGGGAGAAGGTTCCTTGTTAGGTTTCTTGCAGGTCTTTGCTTTTCTCCTTTTAACTTGTCCAATTTTATGTCTTTGTTTTAAATGTTGTTTAAAAGTCAGGAGCAAATACTTTGCTTATTCTTTATTTTAGAAGCCTAGCTTATTGGCCTTTTAATGCTCATTGCTTTATTTGTATGCTGAAGCAAATGGTATTGTATATCTCATGCCAACACCCCTCCAATTGTACTGCTTAGGGATTTATTTATTTATTTTACTGTGGTCTGAACTGGTTAAATGGTTTGTGCTGCTTATTAGCATAGCAGTTTCCTTCAGTTTGTAGCTTAACATATAAGTGAAATCCCTCTCCTTGCTCAGTTAAGATTGTGTTTGTTAGGTTTTTAACCCTGATTGTTAATTGTAAGTTTGATTAAGTCTTGAAAAGAATCTGAAACTGCAGTTGCGATTACCTCTGCTTTTTCATAACTTTATTTTAAATGGAAGATATACCTGAGTATATACTTGTCACTCTTAACACTTCATGAAGGAAAGAGATTATTTCTCAGAATTATACATTCTCCTTGTTTGCACAGCAATGTCTTCTGCAGGTGGCACATTATGAAAAGCCCACCTGTATCTGAAGAACTTTGCTCCTGCCTTTGATGTTACTAAGCATTTTATATTTGGTATATGTCTAAGTGGTTTCTAGAACCAAAGACAGCCCTTTTTCTGTTCACTGATATATATTTCATATCTTCCTCTCTCTCTTTTATCATGACTTACCTACTCCTATTTCAGGGCTCTTTGTTACTTACTTTTTTATAACAAACATCCTATGTGAACTTTACTATATTAGTACAGGCTGTATTTGCTACACCTTATGTCATAATGTTGATCACACTTGAAATAGGTGTTATATGAAGCTGTTTGTCTTGATATATTTCCAACTTCTTGACCGACTTCTGTTTTAGTTCTTTTAGTATTTTTGTTTTTGACTGGCAATCCATACAGGTTTTGAATTCTCTGGAAAAAAAATGGTAGAGCTCAACAAGCTTCCCTCCATTCTGATGTTAAGATAGTTATGGCAGTGGCCCTAAGTTAGCCAGTCTGAGAAAAAATTATATTACCCAGCTGAGAGCTCATTATTTCAGGAGGTATTTGCGAAGCCTCAGCTGCTGTGTATAACCTTAGATTTTCAAACTGAATTTAATTTGCATATACAAGCTACTCCAGTGGGTAGACCATCTAGTCCAACCCCGCTGCCATGGGCAGGGACGCTTTCACTAGATCTGGTTGCTCAGAGCCCCATCCAACCTGACCAACACTTCCTAGGATGGGACATCCACAACTTTACAGGGCAGCCTGTTCCAGTGTCTCCCGGCCCTCATCGTAAATTATTCCCTCCTTATGTCCAATCTAAATCTACCCTCTTTTAGTTTAAAAACATTGTCCCATCCTGTCAGTACAGGCCTTAGTAAAGTCTTTCTTCATCTTTTTTATAAGCCCCATTTATATATTGAAAGGCTGCAGTAAGTTCTCCCTGGAGCCTTCTCTTCTCCAGGCTGAACGAACCCAACTCCCTCCGCCTGTCTTCATAGCAGAGGTGCTCCAGCCCTTTGATTATCTTTGTGGCCCTCCTCTGGACCTGATCCAACAGGTCCATGTCTTTCCTGTGCTGAGGGCCCCAGAGCTGGACACAGGACTCCAGGTGGGGTCTTACCAGAATGGAGTAGAGGGGCAGAACCACCTGCCTCGACCTGCCGATGCAACCCGGGATATGGTTGGCTTTCTGGGCTGCGAGCACATGTTGCTGGCTCATGTCCAGATTCTCATCCACTGGTACCCCCAAGTCCTTTTCTGCCAGAGCTGTTCTCGATCCATTCATCCCCCAGTCTGCATTGATACTGGTGATTGTCCCAACCCAGATGCAGGACCTTGCATTTGGCATTGCTGAACTTCATGAGGTTAAGATGACACTGGTGAGGTCATAAGGTTAGATGACACTGGTGATGGACCTGCCAAAACAGCTGCTGATTCTTGCTTCACTTATGTGGGGGGTATAGGGGGTGTCTTTTTCTGCAAAACTGATGATCCTCCCTGAAGAGAGTGCTAAAGAAATGATAGAATTGTAAACTTCACCCATGTATCAAATGAAAGTGTTTCTGAAAATGTTTTGTAAGACTTCATTAAAGCAACTTAAACTGTGACATCTTTGTGATTTTTATCATTTGCATACCTCTACAGTAATATATGGGTTTAAAATGCCATTGATGATTTGTAAGAGACCATGGGATTCCTTTCACTCTGCAGTGTTAGTTGCATATGCATTTTTTTCAGGATTCTGCAGAACATGTTTAAACTTCTGCTGGTATAAAGTGCTGTGGGAGGTAAACTTGCAGCCAGAATGTGCATCCAACTTGTATTTTATTTGTCTTAGGCCAGTGTTATTCTATATGTTTTGTAGAAGTCAGTACTGTATGAATGTAATATTAGCCCTTTGTTTGCATAGCATTAGGTTGCTGTTTGCTTAAAAATCAGTTGAGGAAACAAAGTTGTGACCTTCTATCAAAGTGGTTTTCTTCAAGTGTTTTGGCTAATGCTGTCTGTAGGCTTGCTGCCCGTGACTAGTCAAGAATTCACCAGCTGGGATTGTTAGATTAGCTGCTGTCAGGTATTTGATAGTCAGGTATACTTGAAGCATTTACAATGCAAGAATTCAGAAAAGCTGCATATCGCAGCTGGTTTTAATATCCATTTGATATTAATCTGAATTTCCGCTGAAGTGATGGTAATTCTCTAGAATGAACCTGATGGTGTACAGATGTTTGCTTAGTTTTCTCTTTAATAGGACTCTGTTTTCCTCCTAAGATGGTGTTTTCACTGGATGGGCACCAGGGGTTCGCAGGCTTTGGGGCTGAAGTTTGGTGAATCGGGAGACTCTTACACAGACAGATTTGTTGTATGAATTGTAGAAAATGGCCTGCCTTTAGACCTTGTGGCTTAGGTACAAGTTGGAGAAATAGGGCATATTTAAGAAGGCAGTGGGCAGATGATGCATTTCTGTAATGGTGTTTTGTACCAGGACAAAATACTCTTCTGTTGACATAGCAGTTTTTTGATAGGGCAGCACTGTTTATTGGGATAGTTCTTGGCTTTTTCAGGCTCTTTTTTTTTTCTTTTTTTTTTTTCTTTTTTTTTTCCCCAAAATGCTCTATGAAGTATTGACATTTTCCATTGCAAAGAGTTTAATACTGCAAAATTGACTAAACCAGCACCTGGCGTTCAAAATACCTGAAGGGCGAGCCTTAGGCATTGATCAAATTATGAAGCAGAACAGTTCCTACACTGCTTCATGCTCTGTCCTTTGATGCGGTGTGAGCATTACAGGTGCTCTTGTCCTACCGTAGGCTTGAATGGTAGGAAAATGTATGAGTGAAACGTGACCTATGTTTTTTTGAGGAATGGAAAAAGATATCTGTGATTAAGCTGATGCAGTTGAGCTGTTCAAACACTTAAGTAATTCATGTAGGTCTGAAATTCTCTCAGCAGACATTTTTGAGCCACTGGGGATGTGGCTTGCAGTGCAGTTCTGTGGCCATTTTAAACCACGCTCTGCAGCACTTCTGCCCATCCTTCCCTTTCCAGTCTGTACCTTTTCCCTTTTGCCACCAAAAGTATTCATACAGCTGTGCAGTGAACTGGACTGGGCAACTGATTGTGAGGAAAACTAAACTAACAAACACCACTTTCTCCACAACTCAGGTTAAACCCACATCAGATGAATTCACTGCAAAAAGAGAGAGGGAGTCAAGAACAGGCAGGACTATCTTTGGCAAAAGTGATGGCTTTTATGCTGGTTTAGGATGTTCAAAAATAGAGAGTTCAACTTCTGTCCTGCATCTCACTAAAAATGGTTGTCATATCAAAAGTGTAAAGCTCCTATAGTGTTAGTAATACACTTTGTAGTTAGTTCATTCTGAGTGGCAGGATTGCATGCTGTTCTCATGTTTGCCTTGGTCAAGAAGCTACTTCTGCATTACCCTTCTCTTTGGGTGGGAGAGGGATCTCTGTTTCCTTGTGTTTGGTCTTCTAGGCAAATCTTTAGTCTCCTGCAGGCTGCATGAATCAGGTGGTGATCTCTGGTTGGTGTGATCCAAGAAGAAATGCATCATGCAATGTAAAATAGGGGCAGAAAAACTGATGCAGGATGTGGAGTTCAGAATAAAAATGTTCTCTCAAATTGTTTTAGTGATAACTTGCATCTAAATGGCAAACTTGTTCTAAATTTTAGAAAACACATGTAATTGAAGATGTTTAAGTTATGAATACAGTGGATATTTTGATGGGGGGAGGGCTGGAATACTTCAGATTATTTTTGGTTCTTTTTGTGTAAAGACTGTGCTATTGCTTGTTCTTAAAGCTTGCCCTAATCAATTGGATAAAACATCATTTAGAAAGGCTTATTTCAGTAACACCAGCTAAAGCTCCCAGATCGTAATTGATGACTGTGTTTGGTTACCTGGCAGCACAAAAACTTGGTAAGATTTCCAATGCTGGCAAACCCAAAATGATGTTGATATGTCTACTATTGGACTTTTCAACTTTTACTGTGTCTGTAGTAGTATGGAAGCCTGTTGAGAGACCTAGAGCAGTTTATTTTAATACTGCAGATGGGGGGGAAAAAAAGTATCCCTCAATTCATTTGAGATGTGAGATAAGCTGAGATCACAGCAGATGAGCAAACTTAATTATACTCCAATTTTTTTTTTTTTTTTCATTCTCTGAGAAGTTAAATGATACCTCATGACTCAACACCAAATTTTATTAGAGAAGTATGCTAAAAATCCATTACTGAGTTCAGTTCAAAACTTGTCTTTAATACTAAAGTTAAATTGTATTCTTGCACACAGTTCTAATAATTAACTCTTCTTGTTCACAGATAACTACTCTTATTAATCATAAGGATAAACCAAAGCGTTCAGACAAGACTCTGCAAGCAATTCAGCGAGTGGGCCAAGCAGTTAACCTGGCAGTTGGAAGATTTGTTACAGTAGGTGAAGCTATAGCCAATGAAAATCATGAATTGAAAGAGGAAATGAGTGTTGCTTGCATCGAGGCAAGGAGAGCAGGTATGTAGTTACTCATGAAACTTGTAACCTGTTGTGCTTGTGCCATCTTTGGCACACTATTTTTAGTGTCAGGAATAATGCAAGAACTTTATTATTTATCTTAACCTTAATAATAAAGTTTATTAGGCCTTATTACGCCTAACGTTTAAACTTTATCAGGATTTAACTTAATAATAAAGTTTATTAAGTATATTATTTATCTTAACAGTTTATCTTTAAGATAAACAGTGGACTTGTGGGTAAGTGTTTGGTTTTTATCTTTTAAATAACCTCAGAAGCCTGACAAACTTGCCTTTTTGTGTCCTAGCCCAGTATATTTCTTGCTGAATCACTGTGCTGGCCTCAAACTTTGGGGATGCAGTTCATACTATTCTTGTGATTTTAAAAAAAGAAAAAATTTAGAAATTGGACATGGTACTGTAAAGAAATCCTCTGAAAATCCCTCAATGATGAGTTGCAATGTCTAGATGTCTAGAGACACGCTGGTGATGAATGACTGTTTTTGTGATTTGAAGGACTACTCTAGATAAACTTCAGACTGAAAATTCATGGTCGCTCCAGTAAACTTGGCTGCAAACAGAAATGTCCTAATTTGAAAACATTCCATTTGTTACATGAAGCATGTGTTTTCTCTTCAGAGGTCCAAGTAAAATGCTCACAAGCCAAAATTGCCAAAGCTTACATCGATAATCTCAGCTGCTAGGAGAGCAGTTCAGGCTGGATTTCTTGACTTGCCAGTTGTGCTGTGATGTGGTGGCTTGACCCTGACTGGATGCCAGGTGCCCACCAAAGCCTTTCTGTCGCTCCCCCTCCTCAGCTGAACACGGGAGAGAAAATATAACGGAAGGCTCATGGGTTGCAATAAGGACAGGGAAATCACTCAGCAATTAGCGTCACGGGCAAAACCAGACTCATCTTGGGGAAATTAGTTTACTTTATTACCAATCAAATTACAGTAGGGTAATGAGAAGTAAACCCAAATCTTAGAACACCTTCCCCACACAATTCCCTTCTTCCCGGGCTCAACTTCACTCCAGATTTTCTCCACCTACTCCCCTGAGTGGCACAGGGGGATGGGGAATGGGAGCTGCGCTCAGTTCATCACACATTGTCTCTGCTGCTCTTTCCTCCTCAGGGGGAGGACTCACAGTCTTCCTCTGCTCCAGCGTGGGGTCCCTCCTATGGGAGATGGTCCTCTACAAACTTCTCCAGCATGAGTCCTTCCCATGGGCTGCAGTTCTTCACAAACTGTTCCAGCATGGTTCAACAGGGTACAGTCCTTCAGGAACAGACTGTTCCAGTGTGGGTCTCCCACAGAGTCACAAGTCCTGCCAGCAAACCTGCTCCAGCATGGGCTCCTCTCTCCATGGGGCCACAGGTCCTGCCAGGAGCCTGCTCTGGCACGGATTCTCCATGGGGTCACAGACTCCTTTGGGCCCATCCACCTGCTCCGGTGTGGGGTCCTCCATGGGCTGCAGGTGGATATCTGCTCTACCATGGACTTCCATGGGCTGCAGGGGGACAGCCTGCCTCACCATAGTCTTTGCCATAGGCTGTAGGGGAATCTCTGCTCTGGCACCTGTAGCACCTCCTCCTCCTCCTTCTTCACTGACTTTGGTGTCTGCAGAGTTGTTTCTCTCATATATTCTTACTCCTATCTTTGCTGCTGTTGAGACACAACAGTGTTTTCCCTTTCTTAACTATGTTATCTGGAGACACTAGCACCATCGCTGGTGGGCTTGGCCTTGGCCAGCAGTGGGTCCTTCTTGGAGCCATCTGGCATTGTCTCTGTTGGACACGGGGAAGCTTCTGGCAGCTTCTCACAGAAGCCACCCCTGTAACTCACTGCTACCAAAACCTTGCCATGCAATACGTGTGGCCAACTGCTTTTTCTGCCTATCAATGTATCCAGGAGGAGCTCAGAATCTAAAAATAGTCTGCAGTATTTTCTCTCGCCAAATGGTTATACTTTTTTACATTGTAAGTTTTATTTCCTGTTATGCCTCAATCTAGAGGACTGAAGATACAGACTTTTCTGTCAAGCCTCACATTTATCTTGGCATGGGTCAGTTATTCTTTCGCTGAGCTATCCATTTGAGATCTAACTGAAGACTTACATGTGAAATTCAGTATATCAAACATGTTTGCTGCTGGGTTTTTGTTTGATGGGGTTTTTTTTGTGTGCCAGTATCATCTCTATGGACTGTTAAGTGTTGGACAAGGTAAGAGAGTCCTTTGTGCAGAGTAGTTGTTATGGATAACTGTCCTCTGAATTTAGTCTCTGAATGAAGTTGCTCAACTGCCATTTTGAACAACTTTGGTGTTCCCAAGCAAGCCAATAAAATCTCCTGGCCAATTACAGCCCAGAATATTAAATTGTATAAAAGAATCCCATGTTCTGATGGCATGGGCAGTAGAAAGCCCGTGCTGAGGATGTGGTAGAGCTGTTCATACTTCTTTTTAGCCAATAAAATGGTGCCTCAAAAAATAAAGGGACACTTTGTTAGGTGTATAAGATAGATTTCAACACTGAAGGATTTAGAACATTAGGCATCTCAGTTGCTATGAAAAGTAGGGAGTCTTTAAATCAATTGCATATCCTGCAGAGGCTTTGAGGGATGACAGATGTTGTATCCGTCTCTTGTGAAGGGTATAATCAGTGATCAGAAGTGTTTCAGACTTGTTATGACTATTTCTTTGTAATAAACCTTGTAATTTGATTGACTCAAAATAGAATCATAAAACACTGCAAAGGGTCATGTAGCAGATTTTGCCTAACATTAGTCTTGCACTGTGTCAGTGTATACAGTGACAGTATAGTAGTGGAATGTAACTCAAAGCAGCACAGTTTTAGATGCCTATCTGTGATTTTTTTAATTTTTTTTTTCCCTCCAAAACTGGGAAAGACTGGTTGATTTAAAAGAGAAAACACATGTCAAGAATGACTTAGTGTCGTAACATTTTCAGTATTCTCTGCCAGTTGACTACATACCCCTAAAGGAAGACATGGAGTAACATGGAAGCAGTAAGTAGCTTTCTCCTATTTTTGCCTTGTCTTTTATTACAGAGAAGGACTAAAGTAAGAAGGTTGAAAACTAGCAATGTAAAATGGTTAAATACAATCACAGAATAACTTAGGTTGGAAGAGACATTTAACTCCAAGAATGGAGACTGTGCAACTTCTTATACACTTTGTATAGTGTTTGACCACCCTTGGCAAAAGTATTTTCTCATATTTTGTCCATTGCTTTTTCTCCTATCACCATTCACCTCTGGGATCGGTCTGCCTCTGTCTTCTCCATACCTGCCCATTAGGTAGGTAGCTTCAGACCACAGTAAACTCTGCCATTGGCCTTTTCTTCTTGAGACGGAATAAACCTGTTTCGTTCAGCCTCTCCCCTTATGTCACATGCTCCACTATGTCAGTGTTTTCCCTTGTACTAAAGAGCCCCAAACTGGACATGGTACTCCAGATGCTCTCTCACAAGCGTCAACCAGAAGGGAAGAATAATTTCTGCAGCCTGGTGGTTAATGCTTCTGCTGACAACCCAGCGTGCAGCTGGCCAGCATTGCTGACTCCTGTTCAACACTCTGTCCACCAGGACCATCGTGTCTTTCCCCACAAAGGTTCTCTGTGGACAGTTGATCCCAGCCTGTACTGTTGCCTGGTGTTATCCTGGCCTAGATTCAGGACTTGGTATTCCTGCCTTTGCTGGACTTCACAAACTTCCTGTCAGATCATGCTTCTGGCCTGTCCCTCTGTCTAGCGGCTCTGTCCTCCAGCATATCAGACACTCACCCAGTTTGGTATTGTTCAAACACTCAGCCCATCATCCAAGGAATAGTTTTGTTTACTTGTGTTAGTCCTTGGGGGTACCACTCGTAACTGACTGCCTGTTGGACTTTGCCCCACTGATCACCGTCCCCAAGCCCAGCTGTCAGGTCCATTTTCTACCCACCTTATTGTTCACTTGTCCAATCCGTATCTCATGTTTTAGTTATAAGGACACTATGGGAGATCATGTCAGAGGCCTTGCTAAAATTGAGATACACAGCATCCATTACTTCCTTTTCTAGAGATGGTGTCATCTCCTCATAGAAGGCATTCAGGTTGATAAGGGACTATTCGCCCTTGCAGGTCTGTGCTGGCTCTTCCTGATTGCCTTTATTCTGCTTCATGTGGTAATGGCTTCCAGGATGGTTTTAATAATTTTCTTGGAGACTGACGTGAGGCAGACTAGCCCATAATTACCCGATTTTTTTTTCCCTGTTACCCTTCTTGAAGATGGGTGTGACAGTTGCCTTTCTATCACTGGAACTCTGTCCCAATTGTCACAATCTTTCAGACATGGCAGCAGAGTTACAGTGACACTCAATTGATCCTTTGATACTCTTGGATGTGTCCTGTAGACTTGTGTATGCCCAGCTGGCTTAAATATTCCCTAGCTCAGTCTTTTTACCATGCCAGGTCTTGTTCCTCATAGCTTACTCCCCAGGCACCATTCCTGTTCTGGTAGTTGCAGATCTGCAGGCAGAGAAGGAAGCCCTTGCTCTGTTGTCAGAAGGCTCAAGTTTCTAGGGCTGTCTGGAGCTTTTGACAGACAGATTTGCAGCTCTTTCTATGTTCTCCGATTATTCTTTGTATTATTAGGTCCCTCATATATGACTTGATAATTCATCTTCGAGAAGATGAATCCCACAGCATAAGAAATTGGATAGTGATGTTGGGCATCCTTCCTTGGTTATCAAAAGCACTTTACGTCTATTTTAATTGTTCTCTGTGTGTTTCTACAGGATTTTATGTTGTCACATGTATTTTGAGGTCTAATGAAGAGATTGGGGTTAATCTGCTGATAAAGTTGAACAGTTCCAACTAGAGATTGGCCTGAACTGGAATGAATTTGACTGTGGAGAAGGCAATGGCCAGTCTGTTTTCCTGTTAAATTATCTCCTTGCCTGGCAGGAGACTTGCCCTACAACTTCACTGTTAGTGTATCTGGCTGCCCTCGCTGTTTGGATAATAGCCATACTTTTATAATTCTTCTTTCTTCTTCAGGCACCTCAGCTATGGAACTCACTGTTTCAGATTGTACTCTGTTTATCATATTTGTATGCTTACAGTAGAGAGACTCTCTGATTATTTGTACCATTGCTTTTATGACCTAGCCTGGTCCTAGCAAAAGTACTGGAAGTTCCTTGCTATAATGCACGACCTATTCAGGCAGTTTAGGAACTCAAGGGATTACAGTTGGAGGAGGAGAGAATCTATACAAACACTATGAAGCATGGAGCTCTGTGGTTTGAAGGACCATCAGGGCCAGGCCTTCTTTGTTCCATAGTGTTTGCGTGTGGTATTTCCAGAGTAATAATGCACCCTCAGGGTTTTCGTATGGACCTCTGGCTTTATCAGGTTTCTGAAGCGAGTATCTTGTCTGCTTAGGTGAGTTACCTTAGTGGGGGTTTTGAAGATGAGTCATAGGGGACTCGATCAAATGTCCTAGATTTTATCTGCAGGGATGATCTGCAGGTTATTTGTGGGTTGATCATCTTGTCTTGCATGCTAACAAAAAACATTTCTCAGAGCTTGCCCTGAGTTCAGTCTCCCAGCAGTCCTTACGTGGTTGTGGAACAGGAAACTTCTCTGTGCCTTTTCTCTATTGCACTATTACCTAGGGTACTCCAGAAGATTTAATTGAATATGGGCCTGTGATTCTTCCCAGACAAGGAGATCCATTGGCTGCATTGGATTGTAGAATATTTAACCGCATAAAAAAATCAAAGTGGTGAAATAGTCCTATTTAACTATAATCTTATTAAATGTTAGTTGAATAAAAAGATGCTTATGAACTGAAAATCAGTGCTGCCCCCCCCGTTTCTGACAACATACTGTTTGGTGGTTCTCCTTTGAACATAAAGTGCAGTAGTTTCCTTAATGTTTCAGTCCTATGAGTTATAAAGTTACTGTTTGGAATCTCTTTATTCTTCATGCCTAAAGACTTCTACAGGAATAGGAAATCCATAAATGATGGAAATACTAACTTAAATTTGGAAGGTGGAGGAAAATCTGTAGCTCTTCGTTCCTTGCTGCATCCCACTCCTTCAGTGGGTTGATGCTGCAAGTGTCGACACTGACTTGTCTTTTGCTATTAAAATTGGAAAAATGTCTCCCATTAATGTTTTCTTCCTCCACACCCCCTCCACCTCAAATATCTGTAGACTACTGTAAGAAAATTAGTGTATGTTACAGATGGAAGAATGAGGCAGTACTGAATAATAGTCCAAATTTAAATATGGAGAGGGTGCCACCAACAGTCAATAGAAGGAAGTGAAGTGAAATAAAAAAAGAGTTGTAGGTAGCTGTGAAATTGGTGTTTTATCCCTCAAAGACAAAAGTTAAGAATGCTTAATGGCCCAGTATCCTTTTTTGTAAGTATGAAATGTTAATTATTTGTTTTTTCCCTCTAGGTGAAACGATCGCACAACTTACCGACGTGGCAAGCTTGGATCATCCAGAATCTGATAGCCACATAACAATCTTTACGGACAAAACGGGTGTGGTAAAAGCTGCAAGGTTGTTGCTTTCTTCTGTCACAAAGGTGCTGGTGTTAGCAGACAGAATTGTTATTAAGCAAATTATAACTTCCAGAAACAAGGTATTTGTGGCTTCTTTTTTGTTTTGGTTAACTGATACCCGGAGTCAATGCAAAAGAGTGGTGCTAAATGAAGTTGTATTTTCATTTTATCTCTAGGGAAGGTGCAAAATAAATAGGTAAAAAATTAATGTCTTACACATGTTCACCTACCAGATATCTGAAAGGGGATGTCTGTAAGTCAGGAGGAATAAAATAACAATTTTCAGTGACTTTCTACGTTTTTTGTGACCTGTATTGTTCTATTGACTTAGTATGCTGGAGAAGACACTGTGTTACTGCTTATTCAAGTTTGCTATGAGGTGGAAAGTGTGTCTGTCAGTAAAATGGCCAATAAAAGCTTCTACTTGCTAAGGGCAGGATGTGTGTACTGTCAGGATCAAGACAGGGAGAGCATTATGAACATGTCTAAGGCAAAAAGCTGTGAGGAACGCTGATAAAAGTCTGTGCTAGTGAAATGAGGCTTACAGATTAAAAGTTTTATGTTCAGTTTAACTTATGTCTTGAAACTACTTAGTTGATTTCAATAATGTATGAAGACCCATTTAACCTCAAATGTAATCTATTTCGTGTACTGCACTGTCTTGACTGTGGGATATTCTTCCTTTTTTTTTCTCCCCTGACGCGCTGAAACAAAAATAGAAAAACCTCATGTTTGAAAAATGAGAGCCTAATAGGGCCTGGGTTTTTCCATTAATTTTCAGCTCATAATCCAATCTTTCCTCTTTTGACTTCTCATACTATCTCTCTTCCTTTGTCCCACTTTGCTTTCCAGACATGCTGGCTTCTATTTTGCAGCTTCTAGATCCAAAACACTTAGCTGAGTCCAGGATTCAAAAACTACAGCAATACCTGCTTCAGTTTGGCTTTAGACTTAGCAGTGCTCTTTGCTTAGTGCTCCCTTCTTCTCCCTGTGGTTGGTGAAGGTGGCATCAGTTTTATCAATATTAATTTGCTAAAATTACTTGTAGCTTTGGTCTTTTCTTGCACTAGAGACCCGAATGGTGCATTTAATACCTTTTGTTGCCTTTCCTGAGCTTCTCTCTTGAGCTTTTTTCCTGCCTTTTCCTGCAGCCACGCAGTGATCTGAATTAATTTACCTTTCCAAAAGTGGTTGGTGTTAACACAGATTTAGGCTACTGTGCAAGTGCTCCTATCATGAAGGGATAAGGAGGGATTTATCCTTTCAGCAGCAGGGCATGGTTTATGATAGTCTTAAATATGTATGAAACTATTGTCCTATATGCAGAGATATGAATATAGTAAGCATACGTGCAGGATTTAATTTTGAAGGTATTTAAAATGAAGTCTCATTTTCCAGAGTAAGTGTGTCTGACTCTGTTTGCCAGAGTCACCCTAGTCTTTGTGGTCTTTTGAGTTTTACTGCTTTCTTCGTTCTGTGCATAGTCTACATGTGTTTGAGAATGTTGCATTCTGTTTATGGTATCAATAGAGCAATTCACATTTCTAAGACCAAATTAAACAAATGATGGTGTCTTATCCAGGCATAACCTGGTATTTATAGAGTACACTCCTGAAAACTGTCAGACACTGGTACGATGGATAGCAAAGCAGTTCTTCCTGTAAGAAGTGTTGTGGTAGAGGGATGTGGCCAGGGACTTACGAAGTGCACACAAATACTCAGAGACAGTGGAGTATAATATGGCATAGAGGATGGAAAGGCAGGAGCGGGATCATCAGTACTGCCAACTGGAGCAGATGCTGGCTCTTTGGAGTGGGTCACTGCTCCAGAAGATTTCAGCTGCATTTTCATCTTAGAGACTGAATGCTCAGTGTTATACTTTTAGTGCCAGTTTGCTTGCTGCCTCTTTCTGAATGCCCTAAGTTTTCATTGTCATCATCATCTTCCTCATATGAATCAAGAGTACTTAAGTCAACCAAGGGCAAAGGACAGAAAACCAGCATAGTGATTGGACATCCGATCTTATAGACTGATGAAGTGATTGAGATCTGGAATGGTGATCTGCTCCAGAACCCAACCTCTGGTTGATGATCCAGATGATCCTGTTACTGCTTCTGCACCCTCTGCACCGTATGTACCATCCCTGTGTTCTTAGATTGCGTGCGTTTCATAAGTCCCTGCCCACATCTTTCCCATCTCACAAAATTTGTTTCACTGTCCGTCAGACTCAGTCACTGCATCAGTGAGCTTAACGTCTTGCTCCGCTTACTGTCCCCAGTCAGGTTAGGAGTGCCAGAACAATGAATAGGGAAGTGACAGATAGTGGGGGTGTCACCGCACTATGCAGATTGGATCAAAATATGGATGTGCCCTGAAGTGATGTCAGCCTACGACTGCTGTCTGAAAGGTGACATTCATAGTGCAGCAGTAGCTGTGTAATACTAAGTTCTAATTTAGATATTATAGGAATTTAAAGCCTTTTTTTTGATACATATTTTTAAACTTGTATTTGAAAACGTACATTTTAATTACTGTCTGTGTGTTTCATGTTGAAGAAAGTTTAAAATGAAAAATTATGAAGACATCACAGGTATTTTGCATTTTAACAGCTTCTTGAATAAGCTTTAGACAAATTTAGAGCTGTCTATGTGGTTTCTTCCTGTATGTAGTTTCTTGGAATGTCAGCTCTGCTTGGAATGTCTAGAATTGTTAGCTGTAATGGAAATGTGTGTGCTTTCACTGAAACTTTTATTTGACAAGAGATTGGTCATGACAGAAACATTGCTCTAGGGTAACTGTAACAGAGTTGCTTGCAACCAAGACCACACTCATGAAGTACTATACTTCCTTAAACCAAGAATGATTGAGCATAATCGCTATTATTTTTTTATCCATTCTTAGAAGAGAAAGTTGGACTTTAACTGGTAATGCTTCCTCCTTTTTGCATATTCCCTTTTCTACATCCTCACTTTCCCAGTCCTGTGGTTCTCTGCTGCTTCCGCTCTTGTACTGCTATTTTCAGATCTTCGTCTTTGTGCAGCTTCCTTCCAAGTCCTTTATACCCCAGCCTTGCTCATGCATCAACACCTGAATCATGGAAGTTTTTGTTTCTGCAGCCTTTGTGGAACTTGCTGCATAACATAAGATACTCAGGCAGCTACTGCAGTGATAAAGCAGTCACAGGATTTAGTGGAACATTTGCTTTACATAGATTATGAGATTGAGGACCTGTTCTGTTATAAAAGAATGGGTCTTCCAGGAGGGTTTACCTGGGTTGCAGAGAGGGGGTAGTTTGTCATGATCAGGTATGTAGAGTGCTTTTTTAGTTGGGGGGAAGATGCTTTTGGCATAGGAAAGGAAAAATAAGTTGACATTTCTCCCTTTCAAGTACAGTTTATCAAATTTTCATGCAGCGTCTTATCTCCAGTCACAATAAAGAACTGCTTTGACTGTCTTTCCTTCTGAAGATATTTAGTGGATTTGAAAGATTACTTTGGGATTAGCAACTGTACCTCTAACCTGAAAAACCCTAATGTTAATCTTTGTTGTAAACCATAATAAGCTATATGATAACTTTTGCTGAATGTTTTAAAAAATGTTGATTTCACATGCTTTTTTGTATCTTGAGTAAAAGCTTGGTACAACTTGGGTTCATTTACTTCTTTGTTTTATACAGAGATAAAAATCTTCAGAGTTAGAGTAAGTTGTTGTGGAAAGTATAATACTATATATTAACTAATTTCGAACTTCTTTTGTTTTCTTTTGAGGAATACTGTTGCTTTTTTTTAATGCACACAACCATTAAAACACTTTTCTGACAGTGCAACTGTGATTTTAGACTTCGAAAGTTATGCATATGAAATTGAACTTTGAAACTGAGAGTTACAACATAGGGATATAATCTGTAGATTAATTTCAAGTACTTATGTTTTTAAATTTAATATGACAGTAAGATTTCTCCTAAATTTAGACACCGAATCCTGTAATACCATTACTCTTAATATTGGGATAAGTGAGGAAAATGTTTTTTGAGGGTTGACAACAAATGACGCATTTTGAATGAAGCATGATCGTTAATTTAGACTTGATTTCCAACTGTTGAGTCCGTAATTCTTAAATAGTGACAAAATATCTACATTTTAAATGACATGATTTAGAAGGGTCTGCAAATAATAATATTCCTAGTTTAGTAATAGTATTTTCTGTTTAGCATCTTGATAATCTACAGTATTTTCCCTTATCTTGCAGGTTCTTGCAACGATGGAACAACTAGAAAAAGTCAATAGTTTCCAGGAGTTTGTACAAATATTCAGCCAGTTTGGAAATGAAATGGTAGAGTTTGCCCATTTAACCGGAGATCGACAAAATGTAAGTATTAATGAAAAGCTGTGAGAGATGTAAGGTACCATTTTCATCTGATTCACTGGAAGATTTGCGTTATTTTGAGATTATTAACTATTACAAAACATAAGTGATTGCTGGCATCCTATCTCTGAAACCTAGCTACATCTCCTTGCTCTATCCAAAGGACATCTTATTTTAAAGCTCAGCTTGAGAAATATCACTGTGTTGTTTGATCTGCATATCTTCCAGCAGCCTGGATGCGTGTTATTTGAGATGTCCTTTGACTTCAGTCACTGTCTTTTGGCTCTAATTTTTCTGGCTTATTACTCTGGTAGAGAATTTCTGTTGTTACTTGACAGAAATATTTGATATTTGCACACAGTGAAGGGATTTGAAAACAGTGTAATAATTTTAGAAAACTCCAAATGTGAATTGTTTAGATCCTAATAAAGCATTTCTCCATATTTTTTTATTATTATTGAATATTTTTCTAGGTTTAAGTCAAAACCTTCTTATGTTGGGGTAATGGTTTTTTACTTCTCACATGCAGCTACTCCTGAAAGCCTTTCATTCACACAGGAAGCTCTTTGCTGCTACTTCCATGTAAATAAAAGGTTTGCTGAGGCTTAAGACATCTGCTGTGAGCTCAGTTGTTTCCCCTTGGCAATCAAATCCTCCATTCAGAACTGAACCAGGGTCTCGTACAGAGATACAGAGTCCTAACATCCATCAAAATTCAGAATTCAACTTGTATAAACAATTGGCCAACCTCATGCATATAGAAGTAGGTTTTGGTGATATGGTGGAGCATCCTTCAGATAAAATATTGGACAACTTTGCTAAAAAAACATAACCCACTCCTTTTACTGTTGATGTGTTCCAAGTCTGCTAACTACATGCTCAGTATCAATCAGTTCTGGAAAAGCTACATATAATTAAAGGAAATACCTGCTTGGAAAGAAAATATCTTTTTTTTTTTTTTCCCTGAAATATTCATAGCAGTTGTTCCTTGGAAAGAGAAAGGTGCATTACTAGTAAATGATACTTTTTTCAACTGTTTTTGGTTTTCAGTGTTAACTGGTCTTTGACTCTCTCCTCCTTGCCTACTTGATTCTTTGGGAGAGTGTTTCATTAGTAGTTTTTAAATTGTATCAGTGATACGCTCCCTTTACAGCCTGAAGGCTGCTACGTGGCATTGTTAGTTTTATTGGGTGGAAACATCCCTCAAAGTATTTTTCCTTACTATAATTATAATAAGTATGCCAGAAATTCTTGAGTGTGGTCAGACATATCAGAATGTAATGTCAGAATTTCGGAAATAAGCTGTTTGTTTTTCTTTTTAAATGCGGTGATTTTGATCTTAAAGATTTTCTGTAGTTGCTAGATGAGATTTTTATAAAAATGTCAAAAGGCTGCTGCTGTGATTTATCCAGTTGTTTTTCTTAATCTAGGGTAAATTAGATTAATTCCATTTTGTGAACTGTTCAGTTTTCAGCTGATCCCATTCAGCTGACTGTTCAACACTCAAATAGCACTCAGCTGTCTTTGCTAGCATTGAAAAGATCTTCACAGAATTCACAGAATTCACAGAATTGTTAGGGTTGGAAGGGACCTCTGGAGATCATCTAGTCCAACCCTCCTGCCAGAGCAGGGTCACCTACAGCACGTTACACAGGACAGCGTCCAGGCGGGTTTTGAATGTCTCCAGAGTGGGAGACTCCACCACCTCTCTGGGCAGCCTGTTCCAGTGCTCCACTACCCTCAAAGTAAAGAAGTTCCTTCTCATGTTAAGATGGAACTTCCTATGTTCAAGTTTATGCCCATTACCCCTCGTCCTATCACTGGGTGCCACTGAAAAAAGACTACTCCCATCCCCCTGGCATCCTCCCATTAAGTATTTGTATGTATTAATAAGATCCCCCCTCAATCTTCTTTTCTCTAGACTAAAGAGACCCAAGTCCCTCAGCCTTTCCTCATAAGAAAGGTGCTCCAGTCCCCTAATCATCTTTGTTGCCCTTTGCTGGACCCTCTCAAGCAGTTCCCTGTCTTTCTTGAACTGGGGAGCCCAGAACTGGACACAGTACTCCAGATGCGGTCTCACCAGGGCAGAGTAGAGGGGGAGGATGACCTCCCTCGACCTGCTGGCCACACTCTTCTTGATGCACCCCAGGATGCCATTCGCCTTCTTGGCCGCCAGGGCACATTGCTGGCTCATGGTCATCCTGTTGTCCACCAGGACTCCCAGGTCCCTCTCCACAGAGCTGCTCTCCAGGAGGTCAGCCCCCAACCTGTACTGGTGCATGGGGTTATTCCTCCCCAGATGCAGGACCCTACGCTTACCCTTATTGAACTTCATAAGGTTTCTTTCTGCCCAACTCTCCAGCCTGGCGAGGTCACGCTGTAAGGCAGCACAGCCTTCTGGCGTGTCAGCCACTCCTCCCAGTTTTGTGTCATCAGCAAACTTGCTGATGGTACACTCTATCCCTTCATCCAGATCATTGATGAATATGTTGAACAATCTTAGTTGTAGCTTTGTCAGTACTTCCTCTTGTTAGACCCTCTTACATGTTGAGGGATTCATGTCTTGCCCTCTTCCCTCCCTCCCTCCCTCCCTCCCTTCCTCACACTTGCGTCCCAATTTGGACTCTAAATTTTTCCCTTTTGATGAACTTTTCTGGTGGTATAGTTCAGTTTTGTAGGTATATCCCTCTTCCTGGAGAGTTCTTGAAAAGTTTCTGTACTCAATGCCTTTCTACAGAGGAATTGCTTTTTTAGCCTGGTAAAACTTTCTTTATTACTGGTATGTATTAAATATAACGCTCAAGTAGACAAAAGATTTATTTTACATTTCCTTTACGGCAGTACAATGAAAAACTGGTGTTCTCTGTCTCTGCCTTACCCTCTCCCCTATTTCAGACAATTTTTTTTAGTCGGGTGTATTTTTTCCCCTCATTTTCCTGTTTTATGAATAATGCTATATGATAAAGATAGCAAAATTAGGGACAATTTACATAACATGCTTTGTGTCTCTGAGATCTTCCTTCTTTGAAATCTGGATTGAATAGAGCCAAGAATAAATGCATAAATTAAAATCTGTCTGAAAATCATGTTCTAGATCATAAGTTAGGCTGAAAATAGCAATTGTCAGACATAAAGAAGCTTTCTCACAGCATACCCATCTGCAAGAGAGTTTTCTTTTCCCTATCTCACAAGCAGTTAACATTTTAGATATTGTGTAATAGTCATGCCATTTTTTCTTTTGATGTTTAGGATTTGAAGGATGAGAAGAAAAAAGCTAGAATGGCAGCATCTAGGGCTGTTCTTGAGAAGTGCACCATGATGCTCCTGACTGCTTCAAAGGTGAGTGAGTATGCGTGCACTTACACAACTTGCATAAATCACAGAGTATGGCATCTGGCAGGATAGCTGACTCTTCTCAGTCCCACTTAAAACTTCATGCCAAAGGATGTAAGCATAAAGAATAAGTAGAGGAAAATCTTTATATTCTGAGTAACGCTATGAGTTCTACTTAACACAATAGCAGTTTAACAGAAAGAATTTATCATATTCTAACACATTCTTTAGACTTGCCTTAGCAGGAAGCATTCATTTCACTATGCTGCATGTGTGCTCCGTCATAATACTTTGTTTTCTTTAAAAAGACTTGTCTGAGGCATCCAGACTGTGAATCTGCTCGTATAAACAAAGATGGAGTTTTTCATCGCATGAGATTAGCTTTGGAACAGGTAATAGAAATTGTAACTGACTCTAGACCAAATGGAGAAAATGAAATGTCCCCTATCAGCATATATTCTGGCATCAAAGAATTCAAGGTAAGAATAGAAATAGTATTGCTTTCTACAGCCTAATAAGTTACTTCGAAACTAGAATTTTGGAGAAAAAAAAAACCCAACAAAACAACTAAGTTCCAAATGGTGGAGCTGCATCTTTTTGACAGTGTAATTTAAATAACTGTTAGAGAATCTGACAAGAGGTGATTAGAATTTCATTATCATTGCCAAAGTACACCTTCTCATACTTGCCATCTTCTTCTGGATCAGAATGCATTCAGAACTCTAATGTTTTGTTGAGGTGATGCCTTGAACAGTAAATAAACTTAAGTATCATTATACCAATCAGAACCTCATTAAAATGCTTGTGGTTGAAGAATTCTTACTTCATAATTGGTAGTATTTTTAATACTGCACACAAATTATTCATCCAAACATATAAAAGAGCAAACCGTCATTCAAAGGCAATGTCATGAATTGAAATTATATCTTGTAGCTCAGACTATTTTTCCTGATAAAGGCTTTTCTAAATTTCATGCTCAGTTAAGAAGAGTTAATGAACAACATGTCTTATTTCTTTGGAGTTTGGCACTTTGATTTTTTTAAATTATTGTTATTTATTTATCTATCCTCTCCCTCCCCTTAGAATTTGGTTAAAATTTTTGTGAAGTGCCTCAAAGTATTCAATTTACTTTATGTAAATTTTTAGAAAAATACTCAAAATAGATGCTATGGATGTGGAAAAACTTGTAAAGAGCAAACAAAAGCTGAATACACAATTAATTTCTGAAACTTAGTGAACTTAAAAACTTTATTGACAGCAGAAGAACAGTAATGTATTTGCTGTTACTTCTGATGAGTCACCAGTAATTTGCTGATGGTATTATTACATTTTAAAAAAATCCCAAAGCCTAAACCCGATGTCTGCATACAAGCAAATTGTTGGATTACATTGAAAATAAGTAAATAAAAAAGCACTGAAGAGAAAAATAAAATGTAAATTGATGTGTCTGATTTCTGTATTTGCATCACAACTGTATAACCGCATAAGTTCTCAAGGAACTGATATGTTTCTTTTTCAGAATAAGGTGGAGGGTCTTCGTGAGAATCTTTATTTTCTCTCAAAAGAGAACCTTTCAACAATGCTGGAAGTTATCCTGGAACATACGGAGGACTTCACAGACTCTGCCTATACCAGTCATGAGCACCGAGAACACATTTTGGAGCTGTCTAAACAGGCTAAAATGGAACTAGAGCAGCTGGTTTCAGTGTGGATGCAAGCTGTAAGAGCTTTTTAGCAAAGTAAATCTTTTCACCTCTACTTTGGAAAGAAATTTTTAATGCAGTGTTTCTTCTGGTCTAGGAAGAGAGAACTATGTATTACTCACAGTGAGAGCTGATCAAGGAAGTCAGAGTTTGTTCTGTGCTTCTGCAGCTTCAATATGTTCTGTCTTCCCTCTTCCCCAGTGGTATTGGTTCTTTGATTGTTTGATGGCTAAATTAGGCTACTAATGGTGGTAGCCTAATTTTAATGAAGCTCTAAGTGGAAATAAGGCGAGTGGAAGTATCATTATACAGTCTTAAACAGTTAGGTCTTTTGGCTGAGTAGTTTGGAGACTTCAGTTGTCTTGATCCCATGGCAGTGACCAAAGTTTCTCTTTCTTATTTTCAACAGAATATTGAAAACAATTAAGCTATTGAAAAGGGAAATATTCTAAAAAATTGACCCTTTTTTTTTTTTTTTTTTTTTAAAATCTTGTGGAGGGAGGAGAGAGACACTATTCCAGGGAATTTTTGTTTGTCCTTTTTACAAGATTTAAATGATGGTAGTTTTCCTTTTTAGAGAAGCAGCACGTTAAGCCTCCCTCTGTCATTTGTCTTATCTTGTTCCTTGAAGATGATACAAGATACGTGCAAAAAGGGGAGGAAGAGCAGAGATGGAAAATGCAGTTTCTGTTTCTGATGTTGACTTGCTTTGAGTCTTCTTCCTGTGGAAATGCATAGCACAAAATCTTACCAACACTGATATATGGCAGTTGTATACTAGTATAGGATACTTATTTAACGGAATGTATTATTTATGAGACAGCATTTTTGTTCCTTTTCTCCTCTTTGAATCAGATGCTGCAGTCAGGTGTTCTTAATGCAGTGATGCAGCTGGAAGAGCATACAAGTCTTATTGATAATGCAGACCGTTGTTATTACAAAGAAGACACATAAAGAATATTAATTGCATAGAATCCCATAACTACAAGAAGCTAAAACTCTATTTAGCTTCGTGTTGGTGGTTAGACCTGGTCGGCAGCTATGAAAGCACTGCTGAGCAATAGCTAACACATCCCTGTGTTATCAACACTGTTTTTACCACAAATCCAAAACAGCACTGCAGCAGATACTACGAAGAAAATAAATTCTCTCCCAGGCAAAACCAGTACACTTGGGTATTTCTAAGCTCTGTTACTAGTGGAAACTGATCACCTCTAGATAATTTACATGCTACATTTCAAGTGAGAGAAATGAGAACCTGGTATAAGACTATGTGTATATATGTTCTGTGAAAAAACTAGCACCACATCTACATGTCTTTTAAATACCTCAAAGGATGGCGATTCCACCTCTTCCCTGGGCAGCCTGTTCCAATGTTTGACAACCCTTTCGGTGAAGAAATTGTACCTAATATCCAATCTAATCCTCCCCAGCGTAACTTGCCATTTCCTCTTGTCCTATTGCTTGTTACCTGGGAGAAGAGACCGACCCCCACCTCACTAAAACCTCCTTTCCGGTAGTTGTACAGAGCGATAAGGTCTCCCCTCAGCCTCTTTTTCTCCAGGCTAAACAATCCCAGTTCCCTCAGCTGCTCCTCATAAGACTTGTTCTCCAGGCACCTCACCAGTTTTGTTGCCCTTCTCTGGACGTGCTCCAGCACCTCAATGTCTTTCTTGTAGTGAGGGGCCCAAAACTGAACACAAGATTTGAGGTGGGGCCTCACCAGTGCTGAGTACAGGGGGACAATCATTCCCCTAGTCCGGTTCACCACACTATTCCTGATAGAAGGCAATATGTTACTGGCTTTCTTGGCCACCTGGGCATACTGCTGGCTCATATTCAGCTGGCTGTCGACCAACATCCCCAGGTCCTTTTCCACCAGGCTGCTTTCTAGCCACTCTTCCCCAAGCCTGTCACGCTGCTTGGGGTTGTTGTGACCCAGGTGCAGGATGTGGCACTTGGCCTTGTTGTACCTCATACCATTGGCCTCGGCCCGTCGATCCAGCCTGTCCAGATCCCTCTGTAGGGCCATCCTACCCTCAAGCAGGTCAACGCTCTCCACTCACAATACTTCCTTTTAGCAAGCAGAGTAACTGGGAGTCTTCAGTAAAGTGTGTATTTTAAAACAGAAGTGTATTGTAACCCAGTTCAAGTCTAAATTAGACTGACATCACTGATGTGCTCTTGTTTGTATAATTGTGTGTTAATGAAAACTAACTGGAGCACAACAGGTAATCTAAAGCTGTTGATTGAATTTTAAACATTTCTGAAATCTTTCCTGTGTATGTTCAAGCTCATAAGATTGCAAGCTACTGTCCTGTTTAGGTTTCCTTTAACCTTATTTTGGCTAGGTAATTCCTTCACTTGTGTTTAAAAGAAAGAAAAAAAAAATGTTGCACATAGAAGGAGCAAAAATATGCACATTAAGTAAAAGAAATAAAAAGGACAGTCTAGTGAGTGTAAAACATGCTCCTCGTGTTAAAAGTGATGATCTTTAAGGTCCCTTCCAACCTAAACCATTCTATGATTCTGTGATTTTGTGATGTCACACTTTTACACTTAAAGGAAAGCATTAAATTTGAGGGACGGGTAACTTTGAGACTGGACGGATAAGAATACCTGAAAAAATGATCATATTGGCTCAGGTGGGTTATTTTTCCTTTAAGTAAAATGGAGGGTGTGCATGTCTATACCTACATATATTTTGTGTGTATGTTTATGTTAACTCTTTTCCCAGTGTATGTTTCTTAACATTTGGGTTTTTCCATAGGTAGGTGCTATTTGCAGAAGTGGGAGCTCTGTCTTGAAGCTACCTCAACAAAATGTTGTTAGCAACTGTACTCGTTTAAATCAGACAATGATCTAAAGTCTTACAGGGTGCTTTAAGTAACATTTTTGTAATTCAATGTAGAACATTTGGTATAACGTTTAGGTACTGCTATTTTAGAAGTGTGTTTATATTTCCAAAAAAAAAAAAAAAAGGCCTTAGACTGTTGCTCTGCTTCAGGGTGCTTAGACAGAGGATTTTTGGAAGTTGTTCCTGAAAAAAGCTCAGTGAGATTCAGAAATAAATTCCTGTTGAACAGAAACAGTCAATTAGTTTGCATCACTATTACTTTTGGATTTGATTTGGTGATAAATGTTTCTTTAAAAGAATTTTTCAAGTGAAATATACACAGGATGTGCAAATGAAAACATTACATCTAGAAAGAAAAGGCTGTCTTCTAAAGCAACTTGAAGCAATGACACATGATGTGAAGGTGGGATTTGCTGGATTTTTTATGTAATGTTTTGTTGGCTTCTTTCTTTGGCTTGTAGCAAAACCAGAAGACAAAGGATCTCATGGAAGACTTAGAAGTAGCCATTTTAAAAACATGCCAGTGCATGAATGAACTTAAAAGAGAGGTAAGTTGAGTTTAAGCAAGCATAAAGTGAATAAAAGCTTGAATATTTTACTTGTTGTATGTGAAGTTGTAAAATGGGATCTTGTATCCAAAAAGGTTAGTATCTATTTATAGACAAGAGTAGCCAAATCAAAATTACATTAGCCATTTTCTGTGCCCTTACTGAGAACTGATTAGAAATCTGATGGATACATAGTCTCTTTGCTAATCCTGACAGCAATAAAAAAAGAGAGAAGTGTTTGGAAATACGTACTGTGAATATAATCGTTACTTTAAATGTAAAAGCTAAACTTTCCTTGGATGCGTGCATTACTGTTTTAAATACTTTTTCTTGTTAATGTGTGTTTAAATGAGTAAATTACATTTGCTGTTTGTTTGTACATAGCCTGTTCTATTGATTTCTATAGCAGAAATGTGTTATGACAGTGCCTTATACCCACTTTTTTTTCTAGACAGTTGGCAGCCATGTATGTGCTTGTTGTAAAACTTTATTTTCCTAAATGCAAATGGGTGTCAACGTAAATAGACGTCTGAGATAGCTGTCTCATTTGGTACGTGGGATGGGCTGCACTTGCTGATCAGGGTCCTTTTCCCCCCATTCTAATGGATAGCATTGGTGCCTTGTCTGTTCCACAGATTTGAGCTGAATACAGAATTACTGGTTTCTGGCAGCTTCTGAAATATTTGCAAAGCATTCAGATATCTTTTCAACTGCTTCATATTGTTGTTCCTTTAAATAGATGGCAAAATGAAGATTAAGGACAGAGAGGGTTTCAATATTAGGCTACAGAGCAGTGCAGAGATGTTAGGGAAGCATGGTGAACTTGCTCAGACTGAGCTCCCAGCTGCTGTAACTGGAAAACCTCGAGTGCTCAAAAAATCATGCTGTGTATTTTTTAATAGAGGCAAAATGAGAAATTTAATCTTCAGGATTATAATTCCTGCAGCTGCGCTGAAGATTTGAACAGTGCTTTGAATCTATTTCAGTTGCAGTTAACCGCTTTGCGCTTCTGTCAGGCAGGGCATTGGGCCCATGGAAGGTGGAGGATACATAATTTGTATGTGTTTGGACGCCATTATGTAGGAAGTCAATAGCAGAGCTTTTCCAGAGTGACATTCAGCTGCTTTAACTGTAAGATCATGCTTTTGAGTAACATCGCTCCCGGGTGCTGAATAAGGAGGAAGGGTTCCCAGTGAGAATAATATGTGCCTACGTAATTCCACAGATCACAAAGTCAAAGGTGGCTGGAATATAGTATGTGGAAGAAATCGTTAATAGCTTGTATTTTCTTGCAGCTCCATAAATGTAAAACATACCATATTGTCCTGCCCACAGGTTTTTATTTATTAAAATGTCATGCAACAAAGACTATACGTTTTCACGTGACAATAACAGAAAACTACCTTCTGTAAACCAGCTAACAGAGGTGGCAAAAGAGGTACCTGTGCCCTGTGGTGTAGCTCCATCTTAAAAGCAACACAGGTGAAAACATAGCACACTGTTTCGGAAATTGTGAAGCAAATTGAGTGGGTTTAGATTTCTAAACTAACAAATTCTAAGTTCTATACGACTTGCTTTGGTGACCTGTAGAGTATGAAAGCTTGCTGAGTAAGACCTTTTTTTTTTAAAATGCACAGAATTCATGCTACTCGGAGAAGTAAATTGAGAGTATTGGGTCATTTTCCTTGTTCTGTATGTAATGACTGGATTGATCCCAGAGTAGCTATGTTTCTGTACATGGCTGAGGAGGACTGTCCTGTCAGTCTGACTACAGGTGCTGCAGTGTATCAGTCAACAACCAGGGTCTCTATTGGTGAAATTTAAGTATTGTGACTCTAATTAAAATGTTTTTGAGAGCCTGGGTGGCTCGGAACACAAGACAGCCTTGTTAAAAGTAGTTCTTTCCCATCTCTGTCACTTCATGGAAGATACAAAAGGTACGTTCCTTCCTTGAGGTGATTTTCCTGCTAATGATCAGAGACAGCATTAAGTAGAAGTAAATTTCTTTTTCAGATCAGGATGAAAAGAATCTCTAATGAAAAGGTAATCTCTATGTAGCCTATGTATAAATGAGAATTGCCAGTTCCTACTATAACATTGCAAGTCTTGCAGGTATGCTTTCTTCAGAGCTGACTATTTCTGAGATTAGTGGTTTGTGCTAATTTTAATGGCACGCAAGCAATGCTATATGAATAGTTTATAACAGATTGTCATAGCTTTTTTTTGTCTCTCAAAGAACAATTGCAGCAGGTTTTGAAGCAACAATTCGGTTCCTTGCATGAAATAAAAAAAAAAAAAAGGGAGGGTTTTGGATTGTTGTTTTTTAATTCTGGACTGCACAGGAATTACTGCTGGGGAACGGGGTAAAAATAGGTAGAGTCTAGTGGAATAAAAACCCCAACACATTCTAGTAAACGTTCTTTTCTGTACCGTGTCAAAGCCCACCAGTGTCACAATTTCAAGCTCATTGCATTCCTAAGAAACTGAAAAATAACTTTCTTCTTGAACAACCGAGTTGGTTGTATATTCATTGCTGTCCCGCAAAGTGAGTGTAATATTACAAGACTCATAGTTGTCTTATGAGCATAAGAGTGGTCTGCTCTTTCTAAAGAGGTTGCTATTTTGTTTTTACCTTTGTTTTTAAAATGGGACTGATTAGAAGGCGTAGGTAAAACTACTATGACTAGACAGTAGAACTAGCAGCAGCTGTCACTTATAGCTGTTGTGAAAATATGTCTGGATTTAGGGATGTGTTTCAAGGGGAAGCTTCTTCGTGCTTGTAGGGAGTGTCAAGAGAGTGTTTTGAGACTTCTCCAAGGCCCATCTCTGGCTTCAATCTCTTTGAAGAAAAGATGCTTTTTATTTTTCCTAAGGCTGTGTTACAAGCTGATTATATTCAAGCTTTTCTTTGCATCACTAAGAATTCAATTTATTCATAGGAACTTAATTTCTAATAGATTATAAACTCAGATGCTGCGTGGCTTCAGTCTGTTCACAGTTTAATGTGGGTCCTTAATGAGAAGTAGAGTGCCCGTTGTGTCATGCTGTACTGAACTTGATACCCCAACAAATTCATGCACCTGTTTTTTCCCAGCTGTAACATTATCAGAAAGCAGCAGTGTGATAACTTCATGTCCTGATTTTACCCAGCTGCTCTTTTGTTTCTCTCCATATTTGGTTGCAGGGTGGCTTGTTGGGATTTTTTTTTTTTTTTGGAGTGCAGTGGATTTTATCTTTATACTTTGAATAGTAATTGAAGAATTAAAGCCCCAGATAATATGCAGGCAGTATATAAGCTTTCATGGCAGTAAATTTTTTGCTTCTTAGAAAAATCAATCTGTCTCTTAAGTTTATTTGGCTTGGTACTGGATGATTTTTTTTGCCTTCCAAGATTTATCTCTCCTCCTTCTTTTAATGCTACTTAAGGTCCACAGTGCAGCAACATCTTTGGCAGCAGATCTGCTAAAATACCATACAGATCATATGGTTCTCAAAGCGTTAAAAATCACAGGAGTAGAAGGAAATCTTGAAGCTGTAGCAGAATATACTTGCAAGCTATCAGAGCAGAAAGAACAACTTGTTGAGGTGAGTTCATGGCTGCTTTCATTTGTAAGGCACTTAGAAAATGAGTGGCTGGATTTGTCTTAATCTGTTCTTTAGGAAGGCTTTGGTCTGTGTGTATGTAATTTTTATTTTGTTTTCCTAGTAGGCTGTTGAATTTTGTATTGTTCTTGATAGGGTCTGAGCTAGAGGTGTCACTGTGGCATACAGTTGTTTTAGAAGGGATGTACAGTCAAACCCAATTCTCCTGGATCTAGACTCAATCTGTATGTATATATGGGGACTAAAGATTCATTAAAAAATAGGTTTCTAGATCCAAGTAGAGGTGGTAGCCTTTTTCTTTCAAGCAGTAGGCGTCCAGCAACAGCTGAATCCAAAGACACATTCTATAATGCTGGGAATGTAAGGTGAAGTTTCTTAATGCAGACCATTTTGAAGATCTTGTGTAGTTTTTGTCAGTCAAGAGGACCACTGAAAATCTTTTCTCCTTGGTGAAAAGCAGTGTGTGTGTTTCATGCACTAACAAACTCATGGTTTCATATGGTAGTATTCACACATATGAATTAATAGGACTTCCAAGACTACTGAGAGATCAGTGCCTGTGGAGAGCATGTCTGCCATGCATACCTTGTTGCTCTCTCCTCTGACGGATGAGCAGAACTGTACCAGTAGGAAACACACAAAGATACATCACTTTGATCTGGATCATGGTGATGCCAGAAGCTACACTTGCGTGGCATCTAATACTCACTGATTTATAAAAAATTCTGATGTCATCTGGGGCTTGAGGTTTCATCCCAGAAGCATGAATATGCAGAAGCAACGCCCTTGAACTTGCGGGACTGGCAAATCAACTCTGTGGATTTTTAATTTTGGCTTTAATGTCCCCTTTTTCTGTGACTAATTACTGTGCCATTAAGACCCTAGTTTTTTTTCAGGCGTAACCATGAGATTAAATAGTGTTTGTATGTGAGGCCTTATAGCATTTCTGATGATGGACAGTGCAATTAGTTTCTCACGTGCTATCTCTGTCTTACAAATTTTCCTCTTAATCTGAAAACATCAATGTTCTTTCTCAGCCTTTAATCTTACTTAAAAAACAAAAAAAAAGATGACTAAATTTTGCTTAAAGTGAAAGGAAACAGTATTTCTTCCTTAAATTAATTTGATGCTGATTTGCTCAAAGATAATTCAGTCCCCTGGTTGATGAAAGCTTAAATATTCTACATGGTTGCTAATTGCTGTGTAAGCCTGTTTTGGTGAAGTCCTTTATGGTACAGTTTTTCCAAGTTGCATAGGTATCTGATTACTTTCAGGTTTATTTAGTCATAAATATGTGAAACTGTTGTTAACTTATTTTTATTTATTTGTTAAGACTTTTCTTTCTCTTGGTGATTTTCTACACATTCCAAGTCAGGACGTAGCTCAGTTTTTATTGTAAATACTCCCTGAGAAACACTCATCTCTGCAGTCCCCAATAAGTTTCTGAAAGGACTATCAATAACTTCGTGTTTGTGTGTGTGTGTTGTGCATGTGCGCCTTTTCTTACTACTAAGGAAAGCATATTTTTTTACCATTCTTTTCTCTTTATATTTATAAAAAATATTTAGATGTGTCGTTTATTGAGGCATGTTTCTGGAACTGAGCCTCTCGAGATTACTTGCATACATGCAGAAGATACCTTTCAGGTCACTGGCCCACAGGTATGCTTAGCTTTTATCTGGCCACTTCTACTGGACATAAATCAGACAAAATTACTTGTATGAATTTTTTTGAGACTAATGAACTGTTGAAAGAGTTATACTTTAATGATAGGTGGTAGCTGAAAGAATGCAGACGGAAGATCATCAAGCCTGCAAATACCAGATGAATATACTACAAAGACATAATAGTAGCAGTTTAATTTTGTGGTTTGCCTGTGAAGGCACTTGTGAATTTGTGTGCAACACTATGTACTGGGACTTCCAATAGCAAATATTTTCTTCTCTGTCCAGATAATTTCTGCTGCAGAAACACTGGCATTACATCCATCTAGCAAGATTGCAAAAGAAAATCTTGAGGTGTTCTGTGAGGCTTGGGAGTCTCAACTGAGTGACATGTCTCTATTGTTAAGAGAAATCAACGATGTGTTTGAAGGAAGAAGAGGTAAGAATGCTATGTAGAAACAGAAAAATGTAGTTTTCAAAACATGTAGTCTAAGAATTTTAAGTGTGATTTAGGAAATCCAGTTTTCTTAAGAGAAGAGTGCAATAAAGAGTCCCACATCCCATATGGCAATGTGGAATCTAGGTGGCAGAAACAAACACATTGGTTTTGTATAAATGTTGAATTAGGTTACTTACTGGATTTTTCTCAAAGAAAAACAGCCAAAAATTTAAAGTCCCGATTTGTGTAAAATTAGGTATGTTTCACTTTCTGCACTGTGACTAGTTCTAGCAATATCAAATGGAACTGTTGAAAGGACACAAAAGTATTCGACACTGCTCTTTGCCAGCAGTGTCCAAATATCGGGGGTGCAGGGCTTTCATCCACGTTTTGGTTTGTCTAGGACATATCAGTTCATGATAATCAAGATATAACTTGAATTGTGTGACATCTTTAATTAATGTCCTGTATTTCTGGAAAATTTGTATATACACGCATATATTCTATACTGTCAGCTTGCCTTGTATTCACTTCATAACGTAGTGAATGTAGTTATTTGATTTTTAAACTGCTGTCCTTTCTCCTGGATGGAATCTCTGGCGACTCTGCACAATCTTGGGATATTTTCTCTGGTTGGTAAGTTTATTGGTATTTGTACAACATGTAGAAGAAAACCTTGGAATCTTAAGAAAAAAGTTCTGTGCTTACTTTTAGCATAGGGTAATTTACCTTTAAAATGGAAGCCATTTTCTTTTTCACTTTTATCTCACAATTATTTTTTTTTTTCAGGTGGTGTCTTTAGTGTAGCCTGTCATACCTCTTGCGGCTACGTGTTTGTTTCAGTCTTTAAGGTGTAATTGCATACAGATAGAATGTAATATATAATAATACTGAATGTCTTGTATTTCTAAGAAAATCACTCAGGTTTAAAAGTTTAGATTTAGTTAAATACAGGGACTTCGGTTTTTTGTACCTAAGATACAGGAAAAAGTAAATCCTTATTCAGGTTAGATGACACTTTATCAATGATACAATTCTTCATCTTGTTATTAATGTGAGACCTTTTTTCATTTTTAGAGTTTATTTTGTCAGTTTAACTTTCTGTATTTGATCAGGTTTTTGTGTAAGCAGTTCTTTTCTGCCAACTTTGTTGTGAGGACAGTAAATAACCAACCACAGGGCAGTAATATCTTAAATTATTGCTGTTCGTTGCTGGATGAATGTGTGTCTGAACCTGAAGACTAGTAAAAGGAAAACATATATTGAAATTCTGAGTGGGTTTACAGTAATTGTGTGTAGCGCAGGTTATTGGGAATTTGAGGCTTTTTAGAAATACATGATTGTTATCCTACTTGTTCTTCCACCTTGGTCTGGAATGCCACATAAAGATGTGTAGCAATCAGAGATCCTGTTTATGGGCCTCTTAACTTTCAGTGGTTTTTTTTTGTTTTGGGAGCCAAGGTCATACTGACATTCTTTAAACATAGCACTAAATTTTATATAACACAACTTAAAATGTGGTATTACTCTAATATTAATATGTTACAATAAATTTGGAATTTGCAGGGCTGATCATGCAGTATCTTTTTTCATATTCATACAATGGTCTAGCAGGGTTGAATGATAACGCCTTTTTATATATTTATATATGTGTGTGCATGTGTGTGTATACATATATATATTACTGTATTTAAAAATAATAGGATGAGAATCATGCAGTCAGAGCAAAGCATATACTTGGCTCTCCAAACAGATAGTTTTTGAAGTGTTGTGGCAGATTCCTGATCTCTCCTGTAGTTAGAAACTTTCTCTTGTTGACAGCAGATAACTAGCGGGAGGTGTCCCTGCATATGGCAGGGGGGTTGGAACTCGGTGATCTTCAAGGTCCTTTCCAACCTAAACCATTCTATGATAACAGGCGTTTTCCACAAGCGTTACTTCCCAATTTCTTTAAAGCATCATTTCACAAGGCAACCCCATGTCGTTGCTTGAAGGAGAGAGGAGAGAATGGATAGGTGTTGCTGAGTGTGTTAGAGGCTATAGCGTGTGTAGGCCTGGGTGCAGTGAAGACTGTCTTCTCCTGTTTGGCATAGCCAGATGAGTCTGTGCTTGTTACTGCCTCTCATTTCTTCAGTCTTTCCTTCAGCATAAAGTGTTCTGATACCACCATTGGTAAGATAGTAAGCGTAGCTTGTATTCTTTATATAGCCTTGGGTACATTATGTCTTGTATTGCCAAAATGATGCTTAAGAAATCATGTGTCTGTTTTCCTGTCTCATGGCCCAGCCTCATAAGGGACACCTCTCTGAATCTGGGTTGTTTCGTATTAACTATCAGTTATCTCCTTAGAAATAATTTGGTCTCCTATATCCACCCATCTTCTACAAAGTTTTCCTCTGTGTTGTGGGCTAATCTTTTTTTTTTTGTTTGCTTGTTTTCTCTTTTTGGACTTCAGGGTGGGTCTTGTCAAAAAAAAAAAAAAAAAAAGAAAAAAATCTCACCCAAATATCATATCCCCACCTTTTTGCTTCCAGACAATACCCTAAAGTTACCTTGTGACTTTCAACAGTTTTTTCTCCTAGAAATCATGACTGATGGCTTATTTTATTCTTCTTGTAACTCACGATATTTGTCTTAATGTCGAGGTCGGTAAAAGTGTCTTTATTTTACAGGCTAAAATGTAAGAAGTGCTTTATTCCTAGTAGAGTTGTGATTGCGTGTAACAGAAGCTAGAATTACAGTAACAAAGTGATATATATTTTTTTCTCCTCAGTTTAAAAACTTGTATTTTTGTACTACCAATTTAAATGTTTGGCTTTGTTAGAGAGTTCAGAATACAGCTTAAGAGGCAAAATTTGAATGGTGACTAAATGTGCTGGACACATCAAATAAAAGAAGCATTTTTCTGATTACACTAGACTCACATTGTTTATACTCATTTCTTTTCTTTTACAAGCAATTGCATAACTCCTTATCCAGTGTTTCTTTCATGGCAGCAAATTAGGTATTTCTCATATTGAGGTTCAAAACTCACATGGATAGAGAGCCAGATTTAGCTTGGAGATGAAGCAATATTTTAGTCAATTTTAATGTAATTGCACCAGATCATGCCCAAATAGAAATGGGCTCGTCTTGGGGAAGGGGGTGTACATTCACATAGAGGTGGGGGAGGTTGGTGAGCGCACCACAGCCCACTTACCCTCACATGTATTTTTAAAATGTCTCTGCGCTATGCAGAACTGTACAGTGAGGTAGAGTTGAACTTCTGCTTAATCCTAACACGCTTTTTAATCCAACAGTGAGGAGGCCCATTCTGCACAGTGTTGGTGTCTGAAATGTTGCATGGTTGTGCTGGGCTGAGGAGAGTGCCGGCCACCTCTAGAGGGTGGCTCCTGCCAGCTGGGAGATTTGGTTCAGCGGGTGGAGGGATCAGTTTGTACTCAGAATTACTAGTTTAGGTTAGATACTTAACTTTGAGGCTCTTGTACTTTGAGATAAATCCCCTAACGAAAGTACGTGTCATTAATCCGATGTGTTGGATGTCAGCCAATCTCTTTTTTTTCCCCTAACTTTTTTGTTTCAACATGCTGGAGAAGAATGTGAATAATCAATCCCCTGATTGCTCCCTTGAAACTTTCTCGTAAGTGAGAGAATGATTTATGAAATTAACTTCCTTTTCTGCCCTCCTCTTTTGTTTTGCCCACTTGATTTGAGAGGAGTTAACTGACCATGAGGATTCGGGAGGGCCGTAGTTGATGAATAGGGGATACAGATCAGAATTTCAGAATTTAGAAATCGGACTTCTAGGAGGAAAAGTGAAGCAGGGATGCAGCCATCCTACTCTCAGATAGGAAGTGAGATCAAAAGCAGGATTCAGAAGTTGAAATAGAGATGTTTTGGAAGGAAAAAGATGGCTGAAACTACTAGAAAGCGGAAAATTGGAAGACAAAGAGGATGAAATAATAAAAATTAATTTTAAATTAAAAAAAGGAAAAATGTTAGAGAAAATGTTACAAAAAAGCGAAGGCAGACTGGAATAAGTAAAAGGAAGATCCTAATATGGCAAAAAGTCTTTTGCTATTATAGAAAAAAACTGACTTACAGACTAAAGAAATTAAATACCTGAAAAAATGTGTGTATTCTGTTAATGGAATCAAATATAAATTCTGTGATTATACTGATGTAATTAAGTATTTTCTGGCGAAGTAGGATTATCTGTGGCCTGAGTTGATCTACGCTTTTGAAAGGTCTGGTATCTGTGAGTCCAGTGAGGTGGGTTTTTTGTGTGTGTGTTTTCTGTTTTTTTGTGGTGGTGTTTTTTTAATGTTCCAAGAAATAAATAGTAAGATCCTTCCTCTTTCTGAATATGGTGAACCACTAAACCTTGCAAAGTCAAATAATAGGAATTGCTTGAAGAGCAAAACCTTTTTTTTTTTTTCTTATTTCTGTTTACCATCCCTTTCCATGTGGTTTCCATAATTCTGAACGCTCACCTTGTGTGTACAAGTAGTATGTCCTCTCAGTATGCATTTGTATTCCATTTGTTATGTCAAAGCTTTCTGTGATTGAACTTTTTTTTGACGTGGTACAACAGGTTTATGCATAGCACCAAGGAGATCTTTTAATGCTACAGCATTTTAAACTTACAAGTTAGCTTTTGTTCTTGGTATGTCTTACATGCTTTCTTACATGCCCTTTAGCTGATGTTTTGATATATAGGATGTTGTAAATCACGTTTCATAATTTACATCAATCTTTAGTGAGAAATCTTGCTTGGATGCATGTTTGGGCAATTAATATCTGAGTATCTGCATTGAGAAAAAATAGTTAGGCAGCCTGTGCCCTGATAGCTCATTTGATCTTTCACAAAACTGGCTAGGGGAAGGAAGAGGTGATCTTAGAAAGAACACCATTTTTCATACTTACCAAGAGGGTTGAGGAACACTTGTCAACTTACTGGAATTTGGTTTTTGGGAGTCAGTTGCCTAGACATGGAGCTCATGATCTTTCTGCGGTGTCAGGAGATAAAAAGCACACTTTCAAAAAATCATGAATGCATAAGAGAACTGTCCTGAGGACTCAGAATGCAATTTCTCTAGGAGCTGATATAAGAGGAGGAAATAGCAATTGCAGAGGGATTTGTTGCTTGTCCTTTGTCTGTCAAGATGCATCATTTCTATGCAAACCCGGCACCGATATCCATTATAGTAGCCCTTTGTTTCTTCAGATAAAATCTGTTTTTCACTAGGTCTTAGATTTTTTATTTATTTAATTCTGATTGTATTTAGGAGACGTTCATGAATCTATTGTAATAATTATCTATGAAGACTTACATTTTAAGTCTTCTGGTAACTGGAGCTCTAATCCTAGGCTGTTAGCCCAGGCACTGTTTCCTCTTGCCGATAAACTCTTCTTACCCACTTTTAGATAACACCTAAAAGGATTTTTTTTTTTTCTCAATTTGTTTTGCTCAGACTTGGAATATCTGAGGCTCCTGGGGGTATAGCAAATAATTCGATAACTATTTAAAATTCTATAGAACATTTTTCTTTACGTATCACATGTGCACTGTATTTCATATGGTACAGTACAACATGAGGGTTTCATCAGCATTACTTAGAAAAACCTGCCTAGGTATTTCTCACTAGTGGCATTGCTACTCCAAATTTTATACCATCCAAAACCCAGGCCAAGAAAAGCCTTATGTGGGACTACTGTTGTATGTTCTGTACTTTGCAACAAAATGAGTGCATATAGTGATAACTACTCAGTCATTGGAGAGAGTTTCGTTTACTCGCTTGTGGATTGCGTGCAGGGGACTAGAAATCTTATTGATTTCTAAGCTTTCTTAACTGCCAGTTGCTGAGAGCTAAAATCTGAACAGTACAGAGTTCTTGGCTTGTCTGTCTCTGGAAGCTCTCTGCAATATTCAGAGGAGGAATTACAGGTAAGTAATTGGCTTCTATAGTACTACAATTTAAGGAAGGATGAAGTAAGGCATGTGATCCCATTGATTAAAATCAGCATATAAATTTTGGTGTAAATGTGTGTGTTCTTCATAGGAGAGAAGCGTGTCTACCTATCACTGCCCAGACCAGGGGTAAGTTGCTTTTGGAATTGTTGCATTTGCTTTATACCTGCTGGTAACTAATTGACTTGTTGCCATGTTACACCATGATGAGGACATAGTATCTTGGTAACACGCATCCTGAGTGGATGGCTGACAGTAAAATATCAAACTTTGTCAGTTTAATAAATGAATAACAAATATACTGAAAACTAGGGTAACTAGTTACATTAATATGCTTTAATCACTTTGATTGTATGTGAGCTTTAATTCCTGTTCCATAAAAAAAAAAAGACATTTTTTTACTACATACTTGACTGTCACCCTATATAATAAAAAAATGCGTTGTTACTATTAAAACAGTCAGAACGGGCTGCAACATACTGAAAATCAGTCTTGGTAATCTGATTTTTTTTAATGTTGTTGCCTGAGTTGACCTATTTGGAATAAATGGACATGTTCAAGCCTATTGTAGGCTCTTCAGATAATGGGTTCTTGTTTCCTTCTTTGATCTTAAATGTTTCTAATGCAGAGAAAAAAGCTACACCAAAGGTGTAGTTATGAGGTAATTTAATATCCTTAGCTGATTATGATTGATACTACATAATTTCTGAGAGCATTTGTTTGTTAAGAAACCTCCTAAACCTTATTATTGTCATGTAATCAGTCATTTGATTCACTTGCTACGTACTGAATCTTTTCATGGGTAGGAAAAAGGGAAAGAATGGTCTCAGAAGGTACAGTAAGCTCTAGCTTGTTTCTTCTTCTCTCCCTGCCTTCTTTCCTTAACCTGTAATGTTGAGGAATTTGGGTGTGAAATGATCCCGTCTCCATATCTCTTGTTGTGCAATTCTGTGACTTCAAACACAATATGCTACTTCTGACCCTTAATGAAAAGAGAAGGAGAAAAGGTCATACATTATAAATCCAATCTGGAGATTTAAATAGAAGATAATGTTAGGCTGAGTGAACATGGGTGCATTTCACTGTTACAGAACTAAATAAAGAGACTGGAAAATAGATTGGTTCAGTGACTTTTGATAGGGTTTTTGTCCCTCACCGGTTTGACTAAGCTACATAGCTTCTGGATTTCAGCCAAAATCTAAAGAAGAGATGTTTGAAGTCAGATTCCCACTTACTGGTTCATGTGCCTTTTTAAATACTTTCAATAAATCTTTGTCACCGAGATTTAAACAGTTCTGCTTTGTTGTTGTTTGAAAGATTGCTGTCTTGTTTTGAATTTTGCAAGATGCGTAGGTTTGGGGGAGTTACGATTAATAGACAGTTTGGAAGTAGACAGGAAACATAGATTACATCCAACAGAGTTTGTTCACAGAGTAATTTCTTTGCCTAACTGGTGCACTAACCTTTGGAACTGCCTCTTTTCCCAGTGCTGTGACTCTTGGTACTGCCTCTTCTCTCCCTGCTGCCATCACAGAGGTCTGCTCTGCCTGGCTAATGCCTACACTGTCCCTGCCCAGAAGTCACACTGTTCCTGTCAATATAATTAAATTACACATTTTGTTACATCTGTGTGATTGCGACTGTGCTGTTTTCTGGTAATGAGTGGCATCCTAGACCATGCCACAGTGGAGGACAGAACTGTAGTGATGACTCAAGTGTGCTTAATGCACAGGTATATTTTTCTTTATAGTGTTAGGTGTCAAATCATGTTTTAAAAGCAGAGTAGCTGCTTACCTGCTTTTTACCTATTCTCCTATTCAAATAGCGTGAATGAACACTGGAATGGAGAAAACTACAAATCTGACAAACATTCTGAGGTTTCTTTAGTTATTTGTGGACAGAAAAGCTTACCTGTGCTACAGTGCTGGTTTTCTTAAATACTCTTCATGCAGCAGCTTAAATATTTGTAGCCCAAAGCTTGTGTGTACATACAAACATAGTTTGGCTCTGCCTTAAAACCAGCATTTCTTGAATTGCATCTCTAATATGCAATATGGTCAAACTTAAACAACAATTAGGAGTATCAATTCTTACACCTTTTGCTAAATCTTTTGGTACGAGAATAGCATTTCTAATACATAGACAGAATTATGGTGTCTAATTTGGGTCGACCTAAGATTCAGAATATTTAAAAATTTGGGGATGGGAAAAGACAAATGGCATGAAAACTAAATTGAGCAGCAAATAGCAGTAGAAACTTCAGATTCTCAGACAAGGATCTCAGTCCTGCAGTGTTAATCATCCATCCTCCTCCAGTGGCTCACGCATCTCCAAGTTATGACACCAACTTTGTATTTTCCACTCCTCTGCACTCCAGTGCAGTTTCTCAACATGGACTGTGGCTCCCATGTCTGTTAGCACAGCGACAGCACCAGCACATGAAGTCAAAGCCAGGAACTGCTGTTCTCTTTGTGCAAATTGATTTGAAACAAATGATGTGTTCCTGTGTATAGATGTTCTGCAGTTGGCAAGCTCTGCCTTGTCAGACACTGCACTCACATCAGTACCACTAATTATTGTTTAATCTGAGCCAATATTTGGCTTGCAGCCAGACTGGCATTTTGGATAGTTCATGACTTAAATAAAAGAAGGAAACGCATAAAAAAGATCAAAGTGTCAGTATTTGTTTCCAGCTACTTCAACAGAGTGACGCAGAATAATGAGCTACATCCTCACACTAGCATTTACACGGGTTGTACCCTAGATCAGCTTGCTACTAGCTAAATCAACTTCCAAGTCCCTGTTATACCAGTATCATCTTTGATGGAAAAAAAACAGTGCAGTAGTACTTGATTAAGACTGTTTGTTTAGTCCTACATATTACTGAGGATCTAGAGGGTAAGGGAAGTGGAGCCTGAGACCTGTGGAAGAGGTCTCTTCCTTGAAGCTTTAGGGTGTCCATAGGCGCAGACCCCGTTTGCACATGCCATTGCAGGAGGACAGCCTGATCAGAACAGATTCTCAGCTTCTACTGGGAAGTTTGTCTGAACTACTGGAAGTATGCTGCAAAGTCTGCATCTGAGCCACCTCTTATGATTTGTTAGTAAAATGATTACTAAATCCTTTTATTTAAAAATATTATTTTTTTGTTTGAAACAGAAGCATAATGCAAATCTGAAAGCATTAAAGCCAGTCAAACTAGATACTGAGGTAAGATGCCATCATTTTAGTAAAAAAAACTTTTTACATTTTTTTTCTTGTCTGAAGAATGTATTTTCAAGTGCCGTAAATATGGTTATCATTTATAGGAACAGGCGAAAATTGCAAAACTTGGATTAGAACTGCATCTGCTCACATCTGATGTGGATTCTGAGACCGAGAAATGGGAGGATCAGGAGAACGAGATTGTGCAACATGGACAAGGCATGTCAAGTATGGCCTACTCCATGTATTTATTTACCAGGTAATTACACTGTAGCAGCATGTTTTGGTGGGGAGGACAGCATTAACAGTGTTTATAAGAAATAAGACAATTTTAATTTTCAGACTATAATGATTGGGGCACATTCAGAAAGGAGGTCTAATTTCTAGCCTTACGCTTTATAAATTCTTATAAATTTCTAAGCTGTTTCACTATCAAATTAGGGGGGTTTAAGTGCTAAACATCTGTTTTGTTGCAGAACATCTATTTAAATATCTCTTGGGTACAGAGAACATTTTAAGAAGCATGTTCATAAATACTTTCAAAATTAAGGGAATTAAAGCACAGGTATATGACTGTAGATTAGAATTGCTTAACTTTGCTGTACTGAAAGGTGCTCTTCTGAAATTTGCCCATGCAATGTCAGCTTTCTTATTTGAAAAATTTATGGGTTTTTTTAGTAAGAGTTGAGATTTTTCTTACCTTGTAGTCCAATAATACTCAGTGTGCCAGAGGCATGGATTTCTGTCCTTGTCCAGCTGTTGAGAACTAAACCATTTCTAATTTCCCAATAGTGTTGTAGTCACTGAGGTTATATAATATTTTGAAATGCAGTTCCTGTTGTAAGTTATTGTTGTGCATAGCATCCTCTAAAAGAGTGATATTTTACAGTTCAGTGGTGTGAATGGGGGTGAGAGAGACACTATAAATTCTGCAAGTAGCAGGCAAAATAATCTACAGTCTATACATGGCATATATTCTGCTTTCATTATTTCCCACAGAGGAGAAGGACTTCTGAAAACTACTCAAGATTTATTTCATCAAGCAGAGGTAATATATTTTTAACAAAATCGGAGTTAGGAACTCTGTGTGAAGAAGAAATTGGAACTTAACTCTCTGATTCCTTACACATAAGTACAGTGTACCATGAATTGACTAGCAGCTGTAGATTTTAAACAGCCTAATTGTGGTGCATACTTTCTGAAAGCTAACATTTCAGTGTTCTAGTAGTAGCTTAAGACAGCATTCATTAAACCGACAGATTCCAGTTAGGAGTCGCAATGGCAAACTGGTATTGTGGCATATATAGTGGACTTCAATGCATTAGTAGTATTCATTGTGTCGCTTAGCTCAATCCCCGATAGCATTAACAGATACTGCACGCTAGCCTGAGCAGCAGTATTTTCATGGGGAAGAAAGACGACGTAAAAAGTTGATTAGTACCAACACAAGACAAGGGGCCAAGTGGATGAATGTGGCGTGATATTTCCCAGATGCGTGCCTGTGTTTAACAGGAGACTGGTTACCTTTGTTAGGACGATAAAAAAACACGGCAGGTGTCAGCTACCCACAAAACTCTTGTGAGCTGCTACAGCATAAAAAATAATTGGAAGTCAGGGGTTTTTTTATATGTAAAGGGAAAGCCTTTAAATTTTGCTGATCTGGGAGAATGGCCATTTGTAGTGTAGCTTGTTATTTCAGAATTCACTGCAAACTGCTCGCTTGTTAATTATAAACGCATACAACTATCACAAGTATTTCCTGCTAGCTTTTTACTTTATAGCATGCTATTTATTAAAGCAACAAGGAAAAAGAGTCTCATCTTCCATTGTGGTTCATTTTGTTACATCCTTTCTCCCCCTTTCAGATTTTTGCTACAGAGGGCACAAAGCTTGCTTCAGCTCTTCAGGCCTTTTCTGATCAGGTGATGTATAACCTCTAAAACAGCCATTCAGCTTATGGCTCTAGTGATACTGCTTAAAAGTTAGTTGTGTTATCTTGGAGCCTTTAACACTGTTTTGTCTTCCTGAAACACATTTCAGGTACACGATGATGATAAACCTTTGCTTCTCTTGGAAGCTGAAAAACTGATCTCTATGTGCAAGCAGCTCCAGATAACAGCTAAAGCTTCCGCTCAGGGTAAAAGCGCTACATTTACAAAGGTAAGGTGAAAACTATATAGATTCCTTAAAGTAAGACCTAACTTGTTTTGAGATATAGCAACTTACTAATTTGTGCTCCCATTAAAATATGAAACAGTTCATGACAGCTGAACTTCTTGGATTGACAGGGGACCATTACAATTAATAAGTAGAAAATTTCACGATGTTGTGCATGCATTTTTCTGCTATGCAAGGTGTCATCGTTGCTGTTCCTTATGTAGAAGAGGAATTTACTTCAAGTTCTTTTTAGCACTTCACATGTTTTGAGAAGCCGATGTGCAAAGTATAGAGGAAAAACAGCAAGAACTGTTCCCTTGCTTAAAATGTTCTGTCTATTGGGACATCCCTCACTGATAACTATAGCCCAAGCCATTTACTGCACTATTTTGTGTCAGGAGAGGATATTCTTCAGCACGGGTGCTACTGTTTTCTAGACTTCTCCCCTCACCCGCCACCAGCAGAGAAGGGCTTCAGGGAAGTTTAGCCTGACCTGACCCCCTCATTCATGCTGAGAGTTTGACAGGAGACAAAATGTGGTAAACTGGCCCATACGTAGAAGCCTGCCAGAGGATAGCTTGGATAGTATTATTCTACAGGCTTATATGAAGGTTTTCTTTAGGTAGCATGGATATCCAAGTTTTGTTTAACTGGTCCAGTGGCCACAGATACCATTGATATTAATGTTGTAAGGAACAGTTTCCCTACCCCTAACTTACCAACTTTACAGTCTAAGAATCAGTAAAATAAGTAATAGGATTGTTTTCCTTCCCATTACTAAAAATACTGAAAATATCATTTAGGGTTTGGATTTCACTGTTAGTGAAAGAGTTTACAGGCATGTTCCCCAGGATAATGATGTTTCTGGACTGCTCTTAAAAAAACAAATGAAAAAACAAACAAACAAACAAAAAAACACACACACACACAAATAAAGGTGGAAAAGTGTCCATAGGCTTCCACTACTTTATATTGCTTTTAACTGCTGAGAATTTTTTTCAAAGAACTTCTGTCAACATCTCCCTCAAGTTACCCGCTAGACAAAGAGAAGTAGTGGAATTTTATCATGCTTCAACTGAGAATTCTCAGCTGAATAATATGAGATGGAGTAATACTGTATATGATAATACTGTAATCCACTATTGTAGTAGTACTGTAATCTGCTAGAATGTCATTCAGAGAAATATGAACCGCAATTAAGCGTGTACCTCCCTAAGAAAGGACTTCAGTGATCAAAATATTAATGAAGGTAATTTGTATTTCCACCACTGTAATAATTACTGCTATTCTGTTCTTACTGATGCTTAACATAAACGTAACAAATTCCAAACCCCAAAGACTCTATTACTGAAATACATTCTTGCTTCTCAGTAGGTAGAGTCTACCCTAGACTGCCCAGAGTTTATTCTGATATTATTCATATTTAAATAAATATGTATACAGCTGCCATAAAAGTTTCAGCACTGTTAACCACAATGAGTAGATGCGCAAACTTTAGTGGGGAATAGAGGTCAGGCTTTTTGAAGAACTTCCCTGAGCAGCAGTATGATCAATGTGAGCAAGATGATGATCTTTAATGTCCCTTCCAACCTAGATGATTGTATGATTCTGTAAGACCATTTCTGTGCACCTAGATGTTTGTTTCCAATGAGCTACGGAAAAGATGTTTCAGTTTTACAGCAGGGACTGAAACTGTCTAGCCCCATCCAAGCCACTCAACCAAAGTGAGCACCTGAGGGCTACTGCTGGGTTTGTTTTACACTCTCCAGCTAAACTAAATGGGAACTTCAGTCTGTTTATACAGGGTGATGTGTCGCTACATAGTGATAATGGCCCACCAAATTAAAGTTTCTTGCGGGCCCAGACTTGTGACCTGTGCCGAGTGTTTGACTTGAGGCATAAACTCAAATGCTTTAAGATTTAGCTAACTTGCAGCGTAACTCGTATCAAGGTAAGGCTTACAGGATGTATGGCTTTCTAAATCATACTGACAGGACATAAAACAAAAGGAAAACCACGAAGAATTGTGATTAATCATACTTAGATAGTAAGAGCTCCTTTCCATGACACCTATATTACTGATTAGTGTTATATTATTAGTAGTTCTTTCTCCTGGGATGTGTGTCATTCCCTTCTGCTTCCTAGCTCAAGTGTTGGGTTAACAATGGATGCTGTTCCTTTACGCATACTATATAGAGAAATTCAAAACAGTGAGGCAAAACCTTTTGATTAGAAGGGATTTATGAAGGAAAATTACTACCTACTCAAGCTTTTGAAATAGATTATCGTCTCATGCATTAAACAGTTGCCTCATAAAAGTCATCAGTGGCCTTACTCTACTCTAATTGTCTTATTTAGGTTGATGCATGCATTCTGAAAACAAGGAACGTGATGACTCTGTTATGCCAACTTCTTCCACTTTGCTGCAAATTACTGAGAAAGGTGAGTACTTGGTTCATCTGCAATATTTCAGAGGTTTTCGGTGTTTTTTGGTTGGGTGGGGTTTTTTTTGTTTGTGTGTGTTTGTTTTTAAAATATCTTTTTTTAAAATATATATACACAGAATAAAGCAGGAAATGGCTGCCTTAAACCTGCTCCACCGTGGAAAGAAGACAGAATACGAACTGGTACAAATGCACATACTCCAGAAAGGAGAGCTGAGACATTTGGCATCAAGTCATTAGAAAACCATGTAACGAACATGACATTTTTAGAGAGCAAGTAATTATAGCACTTAGAAATGCAGAAAACTCCCATTTGAAAATAACACTTGCTGAATTTTCAATATTGCTTTCATTTGTGGAAAGTCAAACCAGGTTAATTAGAATTAAAACTGTTGACCTTTGTCACATCTAATAGATGTCCCATTACTTAGCAATTACAACACCAACAAGTCTAATCGTTATGTATTTTTATAATGTGAATGCCTTTCCTACGCTCACTATTGATATTGGTTTTGTAATTAATGCTTATGAATGTCTTAATGGATGTTTCAACCCAAAGATGCTGCTAATAGACATTTTATGTAAAGAACCTTGTGCTGCATATGCTATATGTAACACTACTGTTGAAGTCTGTAAACTCATCTCTGGCCTATTTCAGTCTATGTATTTGATAAAGCAGAATCAGGAATATAGTCTGAGAGGCTGTGGCCGAAAGCACTGACATGTGATCTTAGTTACGAGTTATACCTGCAATGAAGTAGTTCTAGGAAAAAGAACCCTCTTTCAGTAGCTGCACCACTGAATTATAGTCTTGTTGACATGATTCGTATTTCCAAAAGTGTATTTCTACGTGATTAATACTCTTGATTCAAACCCTTTTTCTTTTACTATCTTTAATTGTAGATGGCAGCTGTTGCTTCCTTTTTCATAGAATCACAGAATGGTTTAGGTTGGAAGGGACCGTAAAGATCATCGAGTTCCAACCCCCCTGCCATGGGTTGCGTTTGTTGGGTTTTTTTTCATTAAAACTTACTGAGCAGAATTTGAATTGCGTGTAGAACCACTGAAGTATTATGTATACTTTTCATTATACCATTTAAAATTTAAGAAAATAGATAATGATTATGACAAACTTCTGTACAAAGGGCATTACTTGACTTCAGGATGCTATGAAAATATAACCTGGTGTGAAATACATATTCTCAAGTTTATCTGCTCTGTGTACATAGGCTCCTGTTGCATTTTTATTTTCGATTCACCTTTGTCAAACTCCATATTGTATTAGTTTAGCTAAATTAAGGGATAGGTAAGTCATGTGATTTTTCTGTATGCGTTACGCTTGCATTGAGCAGAAGCAAAGCTGCCTGTGGAACTTAAATACTCTCCAATATATAATTCTGTGCTTGTTTAAAACCTGTAGTGCTAGAATTGAGAGGAAAAGATAAAGCAATTTTTAATATACAACTATTTGAACTGGTTTATTCTTGTACGAAACAAGTGTTTAAGTTCCACTTTAAAAAATGGGCACTAGGCCTTTCAATACCAGGACAGTTGCAGTGTACAAAAGTAGCTTATTTAGTATCAAATACAGATGACACCTCTATAATTAATTTCATGAAGAAGCATTAAGACGTTTCAACAAAACTTCCTCGTACTCCTTCTGCGTCAGAAGTCCTTGAGTTATACTCTTGCTTTCTTCAAATTTGGGTAGAACCACTGCGATGTATCCCTCGGTTGATGGCTAAAACGCAAGATTAAAGTTAGTAGTGAAATAAAAGTTAGAAAATAAAAAGCAAAAAAGTTTCTTACCTTTTCTTGCAGAATAGCTGGATTGCTAAGAATGTTTTCATTCACTTCTATCAGACGCCCTCGTATACAACTGCAAAAGTGTTAAGTTTCAGTAAAAGTGCGTGGTACGTCAAGATAAGAAGAAGGGAAAACCCTTACCTATAAACGGTGTATTCCTCTCCATCTGATGAAGATATCCTGCATAGAGGGGCAAGTTCCGTTAAAAACTGAGCTCCCTGCATTTGAAAAAAATATATAAATGAATACATATATATATATGCACACCACACACACATATATACACTTTTAATTACACAGGGCTTTTAGAAGTATTACCATCAGCAACATGAGAAGGTTGTAAGCTTCAGAACAAAGCAAGAAAGTGTGACAGTAACAGGTCTGTGCAAGTTACGTGGCTGTGCGTCCCTACAGAAGGGAATATGACAACTTAGTTATGCGCACAAATAGATTAGAAGCTTGTAAGAGCTTATAAATGTAGCCATAATTAAGTTTCTTGTGGAATAACAGACTTGTAGTTTGATCAGATGATTAAACTCAACAAAGAGGAGAGAAAAACAGCACAGCTGACTTTACTATAACCAGGTTATACCACATATTTGAAAACCCACCATGAAACATACTGAACCAGTCCATCTATCAAGGTCTGTTTCGCAAAAACAGCACTCTCCAAATCCTTAGTATTTTGGTGGAAACAACTTTTTTATAGATAAAGGCGTGATTAAGTCACTCAAATTACTATGAAAAGATGACTAAAAGCGACTGTTAGCCTTGGTTTGAGCTACACTACACTGGAAACCACTGGTGCTGTGGCAGCACAGCAGCACTGTAGGACTCTGGCTGGGACAGTTAAATGGGCACCTCCTGAGGAAAGTTGAAATTCTGTAACTGTGGAGGGGCTGTTTTAAAATAAAATGCAAAGGTAACCCAGTAAGTTTCTGTCCTTGAAAGAACAGAAAGTCTCAGGCACTGTGAGAGATGAAAATGAAAAGTAACCAAATCAAAAAGCCATACCCTTTTTGACTTCCCAGAGACCTTATTCTGGAGTCTGCTGCAGTTGGCGCTGATTTGGTAATTAATGCTTGTAATTGTTTTCCCATTTTGAAGAAGAGGATGGGCTTCTGCCAAGGTGATGACACAGATTCTGCAACAAGAAATGAAATTATTATGCTGCAGTTGTGAGAAGCCATGGTCTGATGTGCGCTAAGCAAACTCCACAAACTTCTCTGCCTACATGGGTAGGATTTAAAACTTCCTTTGGACTCCTAGTCTAAAATGCTTGCAAGACTTTCCGTGTTGTGAAGGCTCTTT